GGCTTCTAGTGAATGTTTATACTCAATCCAAAAATAAAAAACAAATAGTTTGACTCTCGTTAAGATAAACATTGACCGAGATATTTAATTTTAAAATTTCAGATTATGTTAAGGGATCGTTCAGAAAGTGAACAGCGAACTGTTTGCACTTGTACGTAACTATAAAGGAAATTTGTATTTAGGAAAGCTTTCTGATGTTGTTAAATTAAGTGAACAGTATAATTATGCAAACTCTCCTGATATGTACTGCTCAATATGATGTTTTTCAAAAGGAGATATTTTCAAAGAATTTTATAAAATGTGTCCTAAAAAAAAGAGTAGCAGTCTTCAGTATTTATACAGAGCCAATTCGTAACATTATTTGCATAAATTAAAAGAGAAGATATATTTCTATTTTAATTAATTTTTGTATGATTATTAAAATATGATTCTACAGTATAGTTGCGTGAGAGTTTTAACATATTTTTTAATAAATAAACAATTTATAAATTTTTCGCTTATAATAATAACAACGTGATAATGTAATTAAATAGTATATACATTATGTGAAAATTTTCTTAGCACATCATTTTTAAGAACTTTATAAATTAATAATATATTATGCAGTAATAAATCTAAAAAAATATCACTGATTAACATTAAATGGAAAAAATCAACCTCGACTCATTCTAATTTATCTTCTGCCTGACCCTTTAAAGTAAGCCAAAAATGATGTCAAAAATCCCAAATTTTGAATTTCCATTAATTTTTGAATTTTTCGTATTTAAATTCTTATTATGTATATAAATTCTCAATATAAGTATAGAGATCGGAAGGGGCGAATATAAAGGTAGATTTCTTAATTTTTACAAAATTGAGTTTTCAAACTTAGAAATGATTAAACATTACGATTTGCGCTTTTAAGATATTTTTGTAAGAAAAGTGTATATCTACCACTAATGGTTACGAAAATAAAGGCCGCATAATGGTATTTATGGACACAGTATGATGTAATGATTCCACGACAGAAACTTTAGAACTTATTAAGAATTCAGTTTGGAATCTCAAATGTTTAAGTTCCTAAAGTTAAATATTAAGTGGTACTCATATGGAAAATTGGTTAAAGGTCCTTCAAACACTTTAGTAAAATTTTTATTCATTATTTATGAAATCAATACCATATTTGATACTTTCGAGCGGTGAGAGGATAAGTAGGTGAAAAATATTTAATTTTTGATTAATTCAGTGTTAATTAATTCCGACTTGCCTTAAAACTTTATTCTAAATTGTAACAGATGAATTTTGCAATGAGGCAGAAAACCATAAATCTATTTTACTTTACTATCTTTTTTATAAAAAAATAAATAAATAAAATACGTTAATTAGAATTCTTTCTCTAGACCTTTAGCAGACAGACTATTTCTAAACGTATGAAAAGAAATCCAAATCACATTTCTCAACTGCTAGTAACTTTTAGGAAAGAAATTTCGAAAGTTCTTAATCACAACTGACAACAAATGAAGAACTGCACTTTTTTCTGTTAAGTAACACATAAAAGCTTTTTGCCGAAACAAAGCATTATCTGCGTGCCGAAGAAAAATTAGGAATGTTTTTCTTATTATCTCAGCCGGTTAGAAAATGAAAATTGTGGATATACTTTATGTATGGAGATTAATCAAACTGAAGTTAAGATTATTAGAGTTGAAGAATGTCTTTTGTTTTTTGTGTAATACAAGTACGAATTTCTTTCTTTTAAAGTACTTTCTAAATGTCTCTTTGATAAATCATGAAATTGAGTTCATTATTTAAAATGGTTAATGTTAAATGTCGTGTAATTATAATGATGATGGTATTATGCAATGTAATAAAATATTATTCCGAAGAATTTCGTATAAACAGACTAGTACAATGATTAGAACATAATAAAATTATGCGTATGTGTGAAAACTGATGCATGGTATTTATTAGAAAATTTTGCTTCCAATAGACATGACTATAGATTAGTCTTTCTGTTTTTAACGTCATTACGTTGCGCTGTTAAAGCATTTATCATTCACATTATTGCTGAGAACAGAAGTGTTATTATTATATAACATATTGTTGCGTTCTACGGGTTCGTGGATTTGGAGTGATTGATGACAACACTTGATGAATAATCAAAACACAATTTATTAGGCACTATTACACAGGACAGTTCCAAAGATGCATTACAGTCGTCGAAACACCACGACAAACTTGCTGAAATAATCAGCAGCACAGCCTCCAGACTATCAGGCTATAACGGTAATATTCACGCCAAAGCACTAAAGTACAGCTTCCGACTTGGCTCGATCGCTCTCAAGCTAATCTCTGAAAACACTACGACTGAACTAACATACTTATGGTACTCTCACGATAATTTGCTACTCCGCGTACAGGCAGAGTATTTATAGCTTCTTGACCTACCCTCTAAAACATTCTCGAGAAAATCAGTAAAAATTCGTTCTAGAATGTTCTCGTTCCGTTTATGGCATATCGTCAGTTTTTTCGCCAAGTGTCGAAAAATGGGTGATTTCTTTCGAAATCTGACAACCCTACTTTTCTATGCCATTTTCCGGCAACACTAAACCCGCTTTGCGGGGGAGCTATCTTACCGCAGCTGGGCATTTGACAACAATATGTTTAATTTATTGTCCACCCTTGCTGACAAATTTCTTGTTTTCAAAAGCTATTCTTGCACGTTTCCTTAAATGCTAATTTGTCGAAAGAACTGAACTTTGTAACTTTAAAGATTTTGGTAAATGTACAAACTTGGTTGAAACGTTTTTTTTATGCAAAAAAATGTAACGTGATCTAACGAAAACAAACGTAACGCGATCTGTCGAAGAAAATAAAAAAAAAAATAAAATAAACTAGGATATTAGAATTTTAGAAGTGTTGGAAAAATGTCACTAGTTAAAGTAGAAAAAATTCAAAGAGATCCAGGTTACTAACTGAAGAAGTTCTATGAAATTTTTTTGATCGAAATTCAGAATTATGATTAGGTATCAAAAATTTATTTATTTCTCCTTCCAAATATACGTTTCATATTCCCTGATGAGAAATTCCAATGCTCTTTCAATTTGGAGGATATATGTCAAACCACATTGACATGACAGGCTAAAATTCAGCAAGAATTAAAAAAAAAAGATGGGATCTTTAAGAATTAGAATTCAATTTTGAGAATAAGTGAGAAACGATTTCATAGTTGAACTTATGGAGAATTCAAGCAATTTCGTAACTGATAGAAAAATTAAACAGTATTATGGCAGTTTCATATATATTATCATATATTGCTATTATCGTGTTATATTGTCATTATTTTGTATAATATATATATTTATATTTTTGACGATTATTTTTAATGTTGAAATGTGCTTTATGATAGCAAGAAGTACTTTTAGTTGCTTATTATATATTGTAATGTTCCCTCTGTTTTTTCTTTCTTTTTTTTGTTATTTGTGATGCATTTTTTAATATAAATATCTATTGAAACGTGTTTAAAAATGTAATTTTTCTTATTGTATGCTAATGATTCATAATAATACATGAAGTTAAGAATTAAAATGAATGCAATAGTTGTCAAAATTGAGCATTTCGAACGGATTAATCCAAAACTGTGTAAATGCTTAATTTTGTTGATCAGGCTTGATTTTAAAATAAATACTTTAATTAAGTTTGTTAAATGTAATTTAAATTTATACAATATATATAATTTTTTAATACAACCTGTATTTTTTAATTAATGTATTTTAGGTTTGTTAGAAAGCTGGAAACTGCAAAACGGAGTTATTTATCTTTTTTTTTTCTTTTTTTTTTTTAAGTAAAATGCTCTGTTTTAGCAGCAAAAAGCAGAGGGGGAAGAAAAAGCAGGTCTTTTTTCTATCAAATACTCAAAATTATAATTTGAATTTCTACAGTCTTAAATATTCTGTTTCACAGTATTTCCTATATGTTGGGCCATATACTTTTCATTGGTAGCACACGCGTCTTATTTCACTAAATTCATCAAGGGTAGACATTTTCAGGTAGTGGTTATTGCCAATTCGACTTTGCTTCTAAATTGCTTCTAAAGTTAATAATATTAATTTTTCAACGCTTTCAAATTTCTGACAAAAATGTGGTACTTGTCCATAAATCTTCTCGATGTGTACTCTGGAAATAGCCTTTTGTCAGATAAATATGGAGAAATTTTGCTAAAACATTGTCTCATTTTTTTATCTACATGTTCGCGTTGTCAGCTAAACGTGCTGTTGGTTAAACGTACTGTCAGCTAAATGTCTGTGTCGGTTAAATGTTCGCCAATGTCCGTATCGGTTAAATACCCTGTTAATGTCCATGTAGGCAAAATGTTCCCGTCAGTTAAGTGGTCTATCTGCTAAATATCTCTGTGTTGGCTAAAGGTTATGTCGGCTAAATGTGTACATCGACTAAGTGTCCTGTCAGCTGACTGCCCATGTTGGCTAAATATTGGTGTCGGCTTGTGTCCATAATCGACCGTCGTCACCGTTGCTATCATCTTCGTCACTATTCAGTCTGTCTTCTTACGTGCAGTGAGTTTCAGAACCATCGTGAGCTTTAGGAATCTCCGTCTTGATGTTCTTCACTATATTTGCTTCATCAGTTAGAGCTCATGTCCCCCAAATCCCCAAAGAAATGAATTAGTAAGATGGAAACAATAACTAAATGGACGATTCCATTTTAAAATTTAGAGAATCTCGCTTTCCGAAAGTTTCGAGGGAAAGTAAAATTACACGAATACTTCAAAAATTTTAGAACCTTACTCTAAAAGGCTGAGAGGAATTAATAGGCTAGTAAATACGGTATGTATGATCTCCAAATTATACCTGAATATTATTGTTAAATATGAAACTTGAATCATATTTAAGACTTCTGTTACATCTATAATTTCAAACTAATATTTAAAGTAATCGTATTTTTGGGTGTTCTGTAATTTTTGTATTATGGTAAAAGCATATTTTTTCTTCTTTTTTTCTTTACAGCACCTCCACCTCCTATAATGGAAATAGATTGTGAACCATGCGTAACAAGGTGTGATCCAACGCCGTTCTGCCCAACTTCAGGTTATTTTCAACATTATTTAGCTTTTACGTTCATGTTTGATGTAGTCAATAACTGTTTCCAAAACCAATCGAAAACAAAGGCAATTTTACTAAAATAAAATTGGGTTAATTCCTTTCTTGTCTTCCAGAGACATGCATGAATGCATTTTATAAGAGAGGAATATTTTTTCCCAAGTTAAACAAATCTCACTAAATTACCAGTGGCTTGATTATAGAATTAGGAAATTCAAACTTTATTCGAGAAGAAAAAATAAGAATCAAATGAAATCATTTTCAATGAACAGAAAGAGGAAATTTCTTATTTTTATTTGATGGAATAAGTTGGTTAACTCGAGTTTGAAACAAGCTTCAAGAAAAATCGATGAATTGCTTTTGCATGTCTAGGAAGAAATAGTCAGTTTAAAATACATTATGATTCAAATCTTATCATTTTTTCCATCGCGGAACATGAAGTTATGTAGTCAGAAAATTGTTTTATTTAATTTATGGTTACATTATCCTATCGCAGGAAAACCAGAAAAAAATGCAACTAAACGGTAGATTTATTTCAGTTAAGCTAGTGTATCTAGGCACTACATATGCATCAGAATTACGGTACCCTCCATTTCATAATTTATTCTAAAATAATGGTATAAATACCTTTGTCTATCTTGAAATGCCGTACCGCTCCGTTTATAATTTTGCTTCGTGTATAAGATGGGTTGTAGAATTCTTAATGTTTCTGCAAAACAGAGGTTTGCCAATTAGACATCGTTGCGCATGTGGGGTTGATATTTTCTGTGTGAAACGTAGTGTAATATTAAATATCTTATTTTAGGATAAAGTTAGTTTTCTTGTAGATAAATGTTAAGAAGCAGGAAATAAATGAACTTAATATGATTTTTTTTAAATATTAGGTATTTCAAATTTTGTGCACATACTATTTGTGGATGACAATACAATGTATTCAAGCACAGTTTTCAAAATGTGTTTTAGATTTTTTTTTAAATATTCAAACAATTTTTCGCACGTATATTCGTTTAACGAACAAGCTAAAATCTCTGAGAATTTTACTGTTTGTATCATCCATCGGTTACTCTGAAAAAATCTTTGTAAAGAAATGTATATGATATTTTTAAAATAATAACTGATTTTTCAACCAATTTTCGGAAAGTGTTCGACTTTTTCGACTATTTGATGTGCATTATTTTAAAATTTTTACACCTAAAATGAATGCTAAATTCTGTCCAGAAAATTAAAATTGTTTCAGTCAAAACCATCACAAGGTAATTCCAATAATCTAGGTTCGCTGAAATTGAAATAAATGAGCATATTTATTGAGATATGTTTTCTGCACTTCAATGAAACAAATATTTCTAAATTTTAAATTAACATTTTGAGTAATTTTTAAACTAGAATTTGAAAGGTTTGAATAGCAAAAATCAGTCATATTTCATGTTTCGAATTTCGAAATTTTCTCGAGATTGGTAGAATTTGAATGTCCTATACCTACTGTATACTATTTAGTTTCAGAAAAGACCATTATTTATGTAATTTTTAAACATATTTATTGTTCTTTATAGCATCAAACAAATAAATCATAGAAACAAAACACAAGCTTTAAAACAAGCATAAAGTTCTTAGATGTTTTGAATAAATTTAGAAAAAACTCAGGTTGCCAGATATGGTTCAAATGCTTTTTTAAAGTTGCATTTTTATCTGTAGATATTTGCTTAGATGTAAGATCTAACATAATGACAAGAGGTAAGCAACCAAGAATGTAAGTAAATCATTTATTGAACTGTCGCCTTGCAGAATATTACTTTGCGTTCAAAGTTAAACCTTCAAGTAATATTAAAATAGCTATAACTCAAAACAGAAGCAAATTTTCACCAAAATTTGAAAGCAAATTAAATCTGATTTTAACAATGTATCAAGAAATGCAAAACGATATTTTGGGAGAAATAGACGATTTAAAAGTTTATAGATGTCTTAAATTTAAAAAGCAGAACAAGTAAAGAAGGAAACCTATAAAACGACTAAGCAAAAGAACACACGACCTCAGAGAAACATCCGTAATGATTTTTTTCACAGAAATAAAAAAACCAACCAATATTATCTATTTTGATTATAAGAGCTTTAAAGAGAAATTTTCAGGAGAAATTTCCATTGTTCCTTAAATGTTTTTATTAACTTTTGAATTCTACTAGGAGAATGTTTGAATGCCGAAGTATTGCGAAGTAAAGTATCTCGAATATATTCAGTCAGAATTGATACCTAGACGTGAGTGGATCATTCCATTATTTAGATAATCTAATTTTTAAATGATTAGACAGAAATATTACTATATGAAGTCATTCGTTACTGCTTTTTAAGAAACATTTATAGTCTATGCCTTCTCAGAAACTCACTTTTTTCCCCTTTTCTTAATATTTCACCTAAAACATAAAAAAAGGAAATTTAATTCCATTAAATAAAAATTTATCTACCATTTTTATTTCTTACTACATAGCTATGCACAAAAGTGAACGTACATTTCCAAGAGTTTAAGATTCTTCGAAAAGGCATCGATCCATTACTTCCATGCAGTAACTTCCTAAAAATATCCATAAAAGATATTTTAACAAAAGAAGAAGAATCATTAATATTCATTTAGCTGTAATCTTTGGTAATGCTTCATAAATCAGTCGAAACGAGCTAGTTGCTTGCTTTCTACGTCGTAGCTTCTCTTTAATTAAAAGTTACGTCGTCCGAAATACTCCTTTCATAATCATAAAACAGGACTCTTAGCATTTACCACAGTTATTACTCGTGCAAAATATTTTTTTTTGTCTTCGCTGTTGCTAGAGTCATGATATAATTCTGTGACAGGATAGGCGAACATCCAAAAATGATAAAGACTTTCTTCTGTCATTCGCATCGAGAGAAAAAGTGCATACCATACTTTATCTTTGGGAATTTTGAAAGTTTAATGTGGAAAGTACTACTTTCTTTTCATAGTTCAACAGCAGTACTGCAACTTCTTTCTTACTATATCTTTAATTATATGGGAAATTTTTATCAAACTTGTATTTCTAAATTTATGTACTTCATGATATCTGCATATATGGGGGAAGCAGAAGAGATAAATATTTTGTTCTGTACTTTAATATAAATAATTAGAATTGGCATGAGAATTCAAATTTATAGTTCACAATTTGCTCGATGTGAACTTTTAAAGACTGTTAGGCACGAACAGATTTTATACACTGTAGAATGTTTAAGTTATTTTGAAGCAGGAGATGTGCAAAATGTACTGTGCCCTCGCCGGGTCTCGAACCTAGACCTCTCGAATACGTGCCGAGTGTGATACTGTTACACCAGGATGCATGCCGGAAGGACGGAAAAGATACCTTATAATACCATATACTCCATTTTGATTTTTGGTTAAATTAATTATATCGTTAGATTCATTTTTCTATAGTCGTATTATTTAATTACTTTTTATTAGTATTTCTAACTTATAAATACGGAAACCCTTATATTCAAACAGCGGTCAAATCCGTTTAAATAAATTTTAAAACTACAGTCACAGTTAGTTTACTGCGGTAATTAGCAAGGATGCTTTGGAATTAATTAGAAAAGATTGCACTAAAATTTTGTGGCATAATTCTAGCAATTAATGATAACGATATGATTATTTTCCTGGAATTATAAAACACCTATGTAATTGAATCCAGTTTCAAGTGCCGGACTTAGTAATGAAAGTATCTACATCTAGATGTGTTCAATAGGAAACCACGAAGATTTATCACTCTCTCAAGAATGACAAATGCTCTTAAAGCAACATGCACTTAAAATGTACTATCTGCGCAAGATTTCAACACTGATAGATGAAATAAATCTAAAATGATTATTTAAATGGATTTAAAATTTGTACAGATTAGACTAGAAGCTTTCAAACTATGCTTTGTACTCCTCTTTTCTGGTGTGCCTGTTGGATTTCAGCCAATAACAGTTAACAGAATAATATAAGTTGAGTTTTATTAGAATACATCCCGGTATGAAAGCCTTATTCCTCTAGTAGTGGGATCTATAAACGTTTCTTAATCTGAATTGTTTGAAAGAAATATTTAATGTGACATGACGTGACAAAATAAAATTTTAACCTACTGATTAATGAAAAAGAAAACAAGTAAATACTTCTATGTTAATTCTCTTGATTTACAACTAGAAACAGACTTTTATACCGCAATTATTACATTAACTGTTTTAATGTTTAATCAATTAAGAAAAATTAGTGTGACTTCTGCGGTCTAAAAATAATAGCTCACAGGGCCCGGTTGATGAAAATATTATCAAAATGGCAAACACCCCAGCTTCTTCAGACATCTAGGTATATATGTGTTTGAAACTGAATTCCAGTTTCCATAAATTTAGTATTAGCATTTTTGTCATATTGCATGACAAACTTTCTGATTCGATTAATTCCAACTCTTTCCTTGTTTTGATGCACTTTTGAGTTCATGTTGAACTAGACTGGAAATAAATTAACTACATTTACATTTCTTCAGGTTCTAGCTAGTTAAACACAGGCAAATTAAATTTATCAAGAGTAGTCACATCGGGGTATATAATAATATTGATAACTATGTTAAGTGAGAAAACCTCGGCGAAAATTCTTTGGTTGAAAAATTACTTACCAAAGAAAACTCTTCTGTGACTTTTGCTTGTTCTGATTTTATGAGTAAATTTAAACCGCTGGTTAATTTTCAAGTCTGGAAAATATTGCAAATTTTTGGAAACAATACCTTTACTGAAAACTTGCAGTTTAACCTCAAAAGTCTATAATAGCGATAATTGTTTTGTTTGAGCCTTGAAGCTTTGCATCCAAATTTTTGAAATAACGACAGATATCCATAAAAAACTTCAATTTTGCAAGCCATCAGTTGCGAAGTTTTGTTTAATGTTTTCCTCATTTTGTAAGAACAATCTGACTTCTTCCGAACAATCAACAAATCTTTGTAGTATGCTAGCGCGAC